CCCAATGACTCAAACGAGCTGTCTTCCCACCACTGAATATTTAGTCATTCTCCCACCATAAAGATTAGAGCCAACATTTAAAAAAAAAAAGCTTAGTGATTTTTATATGGCTCTGACTTGAGATGCATGATTTCAGATACGTGGAAAGAACATAATTTTTCATACAGCAGTGGACACTCATCCCCTCAAAATGAGGCTCCTTTAATGCACAGCAGTTTGGGTACCCCAAATCATGTTTTGAAAATCTTGGCTTCAATCTATACTTAGCTTGAACACTTTTGCAATGTCAGGTAGAGGGTGTCTTGCTTCTAGCCAAGATACAAACTTTGAGCATGTAGAGATGGTGCTACAAGTATGAAACATGGATCGGCAAAGAGGCAGCTAGAGCAGGGATCCCCACAGGCCTGCTGAGAAATTTCATGCAGCCCAGATATTGGCAGCAGTTTGGCAGTAGGGGCTTCATGGAGTGTTTGCTGAATTACGTACATGGTAGCAGTGGGGAGAAGCAGCAGTGCTCGTAATGGCATTGGCTGGTTGGAAGTGCCGGGCAGCTCAGACTGAGCTGTGTTGCTTCAGCTCACTTCTAGGAGGCTCCCAACTCCTATGCTAGAGTATTGCCAAATGCAAAAAGTAATAGTAGCCACTGCATCTTTATTATCCTCAGCTGGAGAAATGGTCTTTGACCCCACCTCAAACTCTTAATGGCTTGTCTACTTATTGCCCCTGTTACAGTGACACAGAAGCAAGATCTTCTCTTGGCCTTTCCTATATCCTCTCCTGGGATTGTTTTCCCATAGACCTATCAGCTTTCAGGGACAGTTCTGGAGGTGAAGTTGTAGGAGATCTCAGCCAGTACTGTCTCCATAATGACGATTGTCTTGGACTTTTAATTGTCCCCTGTTTCAGTCTTTGTCTTTTCAACTGTGATCACTGTATTCAGTGCTGTTGTTTCCATAAGTAAAGCAAACTCCTCCCAGATCTTGAAATAATTAAGAGGAGAAGGTGTAGCAGGTCAGGCATGTGGGTTAAGTCTTCTCCAGCCCTATTATGAAAGAATATCCCAGCGCAGACCCTCAATTCTTTAACCTGTTGCGAGAATAAAAAATGGCTAAAAATCTCTGATGTGCTATTGCCCTTTCCCCTGCACAGCACAGTCCAAGGGAGCTTGTTAGTCTGAAAATGATGGCAAGGTATTAGAGATGGGGATATGAGCCAGAGACCCCAGCAAGACTCAGCTGGATTCTGGGGAGCTTTCACTTCTCAGTAACTGTTTGTTATTTCAAAGCATTTGTGTGTTACCACCCTCATTTCTTTTGCAGCTGTGCCCCACACTTCTTCAGCACTCTTGAGTTAACATCACACCCAAGGCCCATGCAGCCCCCCAGTCAGATCCCTTTCATGACTGGCCTGTTGAGACATGGTTAGAACGAGCAAGGTTCCCAAAGCTGGGGAGTGATGCTTCCCCCTCCACAATGAGAGGGAGATGCTCATAAAACGGGCCTCGGATGAAACCGTCTCCTGCCAAATGAGTGAAATGCATTGCAGCACATTTTGGCATTGGTGTCAGGCTTTACAGCATCTTCAAAATATGGGCTGCTTTCTGCTTCCAAATTTGAGCAATACCTCTAAGGAGATGAGCATAGCTGAGGCTCTGAAATGGTTTTGTCCAAACCAGTGATTGCTACTGAACGGTGAGAGAGATCCTCCTGTTCTCAGTATCAGCCTTAAAGTTCCAACCACTCTATTGCCAACAAGTGTTTAAAAAGCTACTGATTCTGTGTGGTACACCAACGCCTGGCAGGTTGATCGGTGCTTTGGTGGCAGTAGAAGCAGCTAGCTAAGAAGATCTCTTCCAAGAAGTGCTGAAAATTCATGGATTTCATAAGTAAAGCAATCTCCCTCCAGATCTTGAAATAATTAAAAGGAGAAGGTCTAGCAAGTCAGGCATATGGGTTAAGTCCTCCCATTAAGAGGCCATTAAGATCACCTTGATGTGATTTCTCCCCTACAGAGGCCATAACATTTCATCCAGTTTCTTAGATGCCTGCTGCCCCTGCCAAAGCAACTAGGGAGCAGACCTACCGGTGGTTGCATGCCACTTCTGTGAGGAAGGGGAACTAAAGGTATGTCCACCCGGCTTCTGGAATAAGGCTGAGAACATCACCAAAAAATCTCCTGTACACTTGTGTATGCCCAGGTCTGCTAATTAAGTAGTGCCAATGGCTCAGAAATAGGTTTGAGTGCACTTGGTGTATGGAGAACTTGATTGCATTGTTGGTGCGTGGTCTACACTGTGCAGTTAAGGGCTCAGTCTGAGTTGGTGGGGATTCTCTCTCAGCCTTGCTCCAGAGGCCCTCTAGACATGGGCCAAGTGGGAAAGGATGACAGAACAATCTGTTATACGGGGGTATATAGATATCGGAAGGCTACAGCAGGTAGGAAGGAAGCAGGAGGGAAGAGGCTTTTATTTTCCTGAGGTCACCTTGATAGTCCTTTAGGAACATACTGGCCAGCTTTCATAAGCCTCAGCTGTTATTTTGTTCCTGTTCCAGTTCACCTCGCGGTGAGGTGATCCAGCAAGGAAGACTGTATCAGCCTTGAGCAGCTGGACGAAGTACCTGTTTCTACTTTCCCTTATTTGATCTCTGAACAGCCCTTGAATTGGATGCCTTCGTTAGTAGCTGCCATAGAGTCCCATTTAGTTTGCAAGCTGCCTAATGGGGGGAAAATACTCATGCAACAAAGGCATTTGGCTTCCAAAAGAATCCATTAAGGCCCAATTACAATCCTAAGTACCAGCAACAGCATTGAAATAATACCAGCAAACACTTGTTGTGTCTGAATGTAAATGCAACTAATTGGTCTAATGCAAATACGAAAAAAAAAAAGCAGCCCAGATGGTGCAACTCTTATCTGGGAAGAGCAAATTGGAGGTTTTAGGGCCATAGAAAGAGGGATTCCGGAGGAGTGCTGCTTACCTGGGTTCCACCAACAGCCAGACAATCGGGAGCCAGAGAGCCACGCAAGTTTTTATGCCAAAACGCTTACAAAGCCAGAGACCAGTTAAAAAAAAATTCTGTGCTACATGAGTCGTTATAAGTGCTAATGGAAACAATACCAGTAAACTGTATAGGGTGCACGAATTCTGAAAGTGTGTGGAAGGGTTGGGATGAAAAGAGCCAGTAAGCTTTAGCATTGCTCCAGGAGGATGGGGTAGTGGAGGGGGAAGAAGAGGGAATGTGCCAGAGGCCTGCCAAATGAGAAGTGTAAATGTCAAAGGTGGACAGGATTGTTCCAAGCCCGCGGAAGAATATGTTAAAAAAAGGAAGTGATAAAACAGAATCAAATGTGGGTATTGTCTTTAAGAAGTGGACTTATTTTGTAAACTGGTGGAATGAACCTGAAAAAGGAGATGTTGGAAGAAGCAGCATTTTTCCTGTGGGTTGGTGCTTCTAATGACAGACTGCAGTTAATTAACAGGCTGGGGACTCCACCCACCTCTGTCACAACCAGGTTTGGAGCTTGCCCTTCCCTCTCCTACCTCTTCTACTATATAGCCCTTTCTTTCAGCACCTTCAGGTTTCATTCCCACTTTGACCTTCTGAAAGAGAGGTAACACCCATACGCCCCCTTATGCTCTTCTAGAGTGAAAATTTGGCACACTATTAGACTAAAACTTTCACTGTTCATGTAGTGCTACAGCCTGTCCTCCTCATGCTCTCCAGGGCTGCTAGCCGCACCTGTGATGTGCCAGCCAGAGTTGCTGGTAAGAAGTTGGGGTTGACTCACTTTCTGCCTCTTTTTTTTTTTAAGCACAAATGCAACATTTATTTTATGTTTTGGCCAGGTTTATATTTCTTTTAAGTTGATCCATTTGCATTTCCTACGACCACTCCCCACAGAGCTGCTCATGCCTTTCCATAGTTTTCCCTTCCTCATTTTGCACAGACATCTCACAGCAGCAAAGCAAGCTTGGCCTGGTGGGCTCAGGCGATTTTATTTCAAGCTAATGGGCTGAATGCTACCGTTCTAACGTGTCGGCCGCGCTTGGCTTTCGGTTTAACACTCTCTCTTTTGTGTTTGCAGTGCTTCCTAGTTGCTGTGTCCTCCATCAGCTTTTTGTTTAACATTGTCCGTGTTTTTTATTTTAAACCTCATATGATTATTTTCTGTGATTGACTTGTCGGTTCTTCAGAAAAACAATGTCCTGGGGATTCAGGCTGACCCTTTGCCCCTTATAACACCGGAGCTAGGCTACAGGGAGGAGCAAAACTTGTCCTTCTGTGGTAGAAGAGTCTGTGCTGTAATAATCACTGACTGGCTGCTGATGCCTGAGGCTGCGCTGCAAGACCAGAGTTTCTTCTTCACCTCAACTGTTTTTTAAATTGACTGACACTGAGCATGCTCAAAAATACTTCCCAGAGAGGGCACACGGCTCTGTGGTTTTAATTGTTTGATTGGGCTTCTTGATGTGTAGCAAAGGTCACCTCATACTTTTGGATGGTCGAGGGACCATCAGTCAGCACTGGATAATGTAAAAGCATGAGCTGACTGCAATCACAGCTTTCACATTGCAGGAAAGGTCCATGGCATCTCAAGCGCCATGTGCCCTCGTTGCTCTTGTATACTCCTGCTATTGGCGGGGGGCTGCATTGCATCCCTGCTCTGTAAAGTTCACCTCTTCCTCCATCCCTAGGACCTCAGGGGCAGGCTGAGACTTGACCTCCCCATAGATGCTGCGATTTTGAGTTCCTGTTTTTCACACAGGAAGAAAATCATTGGCTGGATAGATTTTTGCTAAGGTGCCACTGGAACCCGATTTGCGGTTCTGGGGTGTGTACTGAGCATACTCACTGTTGCTAGACCTCATCTCACTGGGTTGGGGTTACTGGTGCTGGTGGAGGGCTGCTGGTGGCTTGGTTTTCTTGGTTTTTTTTTTTTTTCTCTCTCCCTCATTTCCTAGGTCTTCTTGTCTCTTCTCTGTGTGGCTCTGGTGACAGGCACGATCCGTAAGGCTCAGAATCTTCTGAAACAATATTCCCAGCATGGTCTAGATGGGAAAAAGGGGGCCTCTAACCTCATTCCTATGGAAGGTAACCACATCTCCCATTCCTTCACCCTTGCGCCTTGGCCGCTTTTGTGATTTACTCCTCCAGGCAGGGCTTCCATTAGCCTGCAAACGCTCTCAGTGGATTTTTGTCAGCCTCTGTCTTGAGGCTTTATGATGCTAAGACTCAAAATATGGTGAAGGGAAAGGAATAGAGCTTTAAAACCAGGGGAGCAAATCACTCTGCAGCTGGCTCTGGGCCAGCCCATCTTGGGCAAGTCGATCTGCCATACAGTCAGCTGGCTAATGGAAGCTGTGCTCTGCCCATGGTGACAACCCTTTGGTGTTTCTGTCCTTGCTTCACTTTGCCTGATGGTAGCTTCACGCTTGTAGTGGCCTTTCCAAACCTGATGAGGAAGTGTCACATCAGAGCTGGCCCATGACCTATTTTCTTCCCCCCTTTGTCCTGGGGGCAGCCACATGCACTTTTTCCCCCTTATATCGTACCAGCCCTGGTGCTTGTGGGGCTTGTGCCCAAGGGGTAAGTGGAGAGATGGCTGGCTTTAAAGCCCCTTGAGGGATCTTTCAGTTTTTTCAGTATAAAGAAAAGCATCGCAATTCCTACTTCTGTACTGACATCTTTAGTCAGTGTAGCTCTGGAGATTTACCTCTATGGCTATATGAAAAACATCCATAGTGAATATTAAGGGCTGAATTCTGGCATTTAACATCCAGTGTTCACGTTGGCTTTCCCTTGTCCTTCAAACCTCTTGGCAGAAGCTCTAGGTGGGTCAGTTGGACCTTATGGGCTTGGCAAGTGATGCTTATGGTTCACACTTCCCATCAGGCTTCAAAGGGCTACTACCACAGCAGCATCCAGAGAGGGGATGTGGGTAGGGCAGCATTCCCAGGACAGTATGCATACAGACATTTTTGATAGAGTGTAAATAACCTAAGCTTGAAGTGGCTTCTGGCCTGCGTGACCCTCCCTGCTGTAACCGCCCTGGATAAAATGCGCCTTCTGTTTGTGCCGGCTGACATCTCACTAGGTCATGAGCATGATTTACGACTTAAACACCTTTCCGATGCCCTGAGCGACAAGCATGGGCCAGCTGCTGGTAAGTACCGCGTTGTCTCTTAATAACACGCTGGCTAACGCACTGTCTCTTCAGTGTGTTTCACAGTTGTCTCTTAGCCAGTGACCTTCCTTCTAGGTGGATAGTCCTGGAACATGGGCTGTATCTGGTTTTAAAGCTCTTGCCCAAACAATTAGTTAAAACAAATTCAGTTGCGTACATCCTGCTCTCCAAAGCGGGGGCACCTAAGCTTTGCCAAATGGAAGATGGGAACGGTCCCTCCTGACAGAACGTGCAGTAGATTGCAACCACTGGCTCTTTCAGTAAAATGGAGCGAGCGATGCTGTGGGTCACAGTGTGCAGTACTGTGCTTTGGTCTGCAAGCCACGTTATCATGTTTGAGCCCAACTTTGAACAGCTCGGGTAAAGGTTGACTTGAGAGACTTCCATCTTATGCCAAAGAAGTGATCCATCGCAGACTGCAGACACTTGGGGAAATGAAGTCATATATAGCATATGATAAAATGCAACTCCTGCTTTCCCAAATTGTGGAGCATTTAAAAGTGTTCCTGGCTATGCAGCCCTCTACGGAAAATCACAAGACCCAGGATCATGGGAGATGAATATACTTCTGCTTTCTAATACTGAGTTACTGTCTTTGAGCAGTAAACCTCATCTAGTACGGGCCTGTGTATATAGAAATACTCTTTCAGAATGGCAGTAGTGCATCTGTGTGATAGATGGAGACCATTAAGTTAAAAATAAAATGGAGGGAGGGGGGTGTTGAATAATTCAGTGCAGGTCTCATCTCTCACTAAGTTTAGAACAGCTTGTTCAAAACCCTGACTAAATGTTGTCACAAGTCTGAAGTCCTGGTAGCAAACTTCTCCAACGCTTGCTTTGCTGTGATACTGGTAGAGAACACGAGGTAACATCAAGTGCCCATTTCCAGAGCTTGAGAGTAATGCATGCACTGAAACTTACTTTGGGTGTGTGCAGCTTTCTGGAGCTGATCCTATGGTGCAGGATGCAAATGGGTCACCTCTTCACTTTAAAATTGCCTACAAAACCAGAACTGTCCACTCCAGAAGAAACCAAACAATCGTATAAACTGAGGTCATAGAGTGAGAAATGTCATTGGAAGGGTCAGCACGTCCCAGATGTTCATAAGCTTGTGCTGTTCCCGCAGGGAGGGACGACGTGCTGGACATTGAGATTGATGCCTACATTCACTGCGTTAGCGCCTTTGTCAAACTGGCCCAGAGCGAGTACCAGATCCTGACAGAGATCATCCCAGAGCACCACCAGAAGAAGACTTTTGACTCCCTCATTCAGGTCCCTAAAGCCTCTCTCCTTGGTTTAATTTGCACTGCATGGTTTGTGTAATCCCTTTCTATGCTTGCTTCCCTTCCCTCTCCCCTGCCCCTCCACTGCCCATTTCCCTAGTGCTTCAACAGTGGAAGTCTTAAACCCCCTATTTCTGGCTGTTGGTATGTTGCAGGAGTCACTAGATAACCTGATGATTGAGGGAGACAACATTGTCTCAGCAGCCCGGAAAGCCATTATACGGCATGACTACTCAGCTGTGCTCACCATCTTCCCCATCCTGAGGCACCTGAAGCAGATGAAGCCAGAATTTGATCAGGTCTTGCAGGTAGGTGAGAAACAACTGGAGAAGCTTTCACAGTTTTCATGTGGAGCAGTTCTTAAGCGTGATCCCTACAAGAGTGAAGAATATTAAAGCCTTCAGACAAAAGCCAGCTGGCCTCATGCTTGTGTTGTGTGCTGTTGTGCAGTTGACCCAGAATGCAATCCATTCTCCCCCTGGCTGAACTAGCTAGGAAGGATGAAGAGCCAGAATGTTTCCACCTCCAAGGATGGGCATCCTTCATCTCTCAGTACTAGCTCTCTCCGTTTAGAGTGATACTGTGGTGCTTAGATAGCAGGCTTGATGAGCTATCTGTCTAGGTTGTTCTGCTGCACCCATCACCATGGGATCTGAAGTAATGGAACTCCAATACTGTTGTTCTAATTTAGGACCGCTTCTCAAAGAGATCCTTCCTGTGTCATCAAAAGGATAGCTGTACCAATGACTGGCCTGGTAGATTAAAGTGTTTAAATAGGAGGTTAGTGGATTAAGTTTGTTTACAGTGGCTGTGAATGGGTTTAAAATCATCCAGTGTGCAGCTGGTCTTTAAAGAGGCTCTGTAGGTACCATATTGCATTGGGTTCAGCAGCAGTGTTAAGGGGCCACTCACCACTATCCAGTGAGCAGAGTTATTCTTTTCTTGGGAGTCCCCATCTCTTCATCCAGGGCTGGCGCTTAGTGGCCACACACTGTGCAGCCTTATAGATAGGAAGTGCAACAGGGGAAATGATGTGGTAGGGATCCAGCTCCCTACTTTTATCCAGGACTTGGGACCCTTTTCTCCCCACTAAACAGTGCACTTGGCTGATCGGATGAGAACCAAAAGTCTCACCCACTCTTCATACTGTAAATAGTCTTTCAGCAAAGTCCCAGCACTGAAGGAATTGAGAATGAGGTACAGTGAAAGCAGTTGACTAGTAGGGCTGTTGAAGCTTTGGGTGGTGATTTCGATTCAGAGGAGATTCGGCCCAATTCGGTAGCTGAATCTCTGAATCGAATCGGGACCAGTTTAAAGGCCTGAATCAATTCAAAGCTCTCCGAATTT